TCACTGCAATCAATAAAACACAACACAAGCAGCTGTTCATATAGTAGCAGGATTAAGGTAACTATTTGGGTGAAGCAAAAATAGTTTTAAAAAAATGAATATTTTGGAAAGGGAAATTATCGCTGTTCCAAAGATTAAGCCCTCTGTTGGGTGAGTAAAGTACTATTATATTGTTGTTGTACAATTTACTCAGTGGAAGAAAATTAATTTAAAAATTAAAATAACTAGTAACAGAAGAGAAAAGGTATAATGTAAAACAAATTGTACAGTGTATGAAAAAATTTTTTAAATAACTGATGAAGAATGATAATTGACGTCAAGATGTAATAAATCGAGAACTAACAATGGTCGATATTATATTTTATGTCAAAATTCAATTACACTCAAACTAATATATCCAATATCGATTTTAAATTTAGCTTAAAATAATAGATTTAAAGTTTTTTACGACAATCAGACAGTTTTTTCTCTTTAATAAAAGAAAATTTGATACTGGTATGAATATAATTCATTGTGAGCACTGAAATATTATTTATAAAAAATGATTAATTGTTGCATTTAAAGATAATTTCTTTCAAGCATATTTCAAAGACAATTAACTTTTTGTGATCTTACAGATTATTTGCTAATGCTGTACTTCAGGTCTTTAAAACAGAAATTAAAAGTTAATATTACGCTGGTCTAATATAGAAATTAATGTTAAGAACAAATAACCATGCGAGAAAGTTGTTCTGTATCTGAACTAACCAAAAGAATTAAAATCATTTCAAAAATAGAATTTAGGAATTATTACAACTGTTCCAAATAGTTCCAAATTACTCAAACTGAAATAATGAAAAGATAGTCTTATGTATGGTAACAAACTTCTACTAAAGAAGTGCAATATCATCATGACCATAAACAGCAGTGAAGAAAGATTAAATCAGTTACGTAGTCATTTTCTTCTTGATGTATTATCAGCAAAAGTTGGAAATTTTTTTGACATTAAGATGAAAAAATTGTAAGACGGATAAGAAGTTTGTTTACACTGTCACATAATCATCAGCAACAGCTATTCTAACGATAACAACTGCCAGATTTTCTGTGAAATTAGTGAATGGAATTGAAAGGGAATGCCAGTAAACCAATATTACATTACCCATGTAATCTACTAATTTATTGACAGATTTTATAAAATCAGTAACCTCGCATTTCTAAAATCTTTTGGAGCACAATATTGCAGTTAGTTTGAAAAATAAGTAGTAATATTTTACCGATCTTTTATAAACAGATATGCTGTCCATTTATAACTACGTTGAAATAAGATTTCATTTACGTTTCGATTAAGTCATAACAAAATTTATAAGTTCTGTGAGTCTTCTGAGTAACAGTTGTTACTCACTTTTTTTTTTTTATTTTATTGTATTTAGTAAAAATTCATAGTAATTTCAATTTCCATTCCAATGATTTTGATTATAGATTGCAACACAAAATCTCTCAAAAGAAGTAGTGGAACAACAATAATGATGAATAAAAAATAAATAGAAATTTCTGTCTTAATTATTTTTCTTCATTTGTTGTTTTAGGTCAGTTTCATTTGTTTTAAATACTAGATGGAATGATCAAAATATTTTATTGTATTTTTTGCATAATTGACATTAACAAAGTTATAATTACATGGAAATACTTTAGTTCAATAAAATACGAAGTCATGTATTTTTTTTATCCGTCTTTTATGCAAGATTCAATAAATTGATGCATAAAATAGTGAGAAAAAATGCTCCGTGAACTTTGAAGAGTAACTATTTAAACAAACGTAACAACAATATTTTTAAGTAAATTCTTTAGCAAGTTAAAGTTAAAAATATTCAGAAGGATCAATATGGAAGATTGCACGTGAAGCGCAAAAACACTTCGAAGCCTAGAAACGAGAATATTCGTATCAGATTTTATAACATAACTATTATTCTTCTCTATTCCTGTCTTCTTTTTTCCTTTCTCTCTCTCTCTCTCTCTCTCTTTCTCTCTCTCTCTCTCTTCCTATTGAATTAAACAGGATTGCCTTTGAGCTGTGCAAGAAGCAATGTTGTCATTAATTAAGTGGAATAATATGCTTAAAGTTAACTACACTTAGAATTTGAATGGAAGTTCAAATGTTATTAGTGCATAAAACTCAAAATTTACTATGTTATGCTATGCTATATATCTATTCTAGGCTGTATTCCCATGAAATATAGATTTTCTCTGCAATCAACTTACACCAAAATTAATGACATCATTCGGAGGATATTTAATGATTTCGAGAGGATATAAAGTTTTCCCTGCTGAGCAATAAATTTGAAAGCCATAGTGATGCTTCTTCACTATAGCATCTTTCTCAGTGATAGAATCTTCTTTGTTTACTTCTTTGTTTAAATTATATACTGCTTAGCCAAGGTAAAGTGTATCGTCCTGCTAAAAAAGATTCATAATATCAACAATTTAAATCATTTCATTTAATTTTTTTATCATTAAGTTATTTGCAATTTGTCTTAATTATTTCATCATATGAATTTGCTTAATATAAGATAGTAATGATAGCAAAGAACAGCTTTTGAGGAATTGAATATATAATGAAAGGCAATAAAACAGTTAATTTGTCAACAAATGTATATGTGTGTCCTTAAAATCTGTTTGATTTCCTTTTTTCTTTTTTTCGTTTTACCTCTCTTTTTTTTTTTAATTCATAAATATGATTATTCGAAAATGTCAACCATTCCTTAGAATATTCAGCTCAAATTCAAAAGAAAAAGAAAATGAATCCGGATAATAGTCTTAGTTGACAAGTAAAATGCATTTTAAACGTGAAGGAATGGTTCGTACACGATAGGAAATATAAACTTGCATAAAAGTACTTTTGTTGCAAGTGTGCTTTTCATGCAAATGAATTTTAAAAAGGAAAAGGTTTTATAAAAATGAATTTTTGCTGTGTAAGTCATTTAGTATTCCGAAAGTTGCAGCAAAAAAAGTGAAGACAACAAATAAGCAATGGCTTGGACTATGCAATAAAATTCGATAATTTATTGCATCTCTTATTCGTGAATTAAAAATAAGCTTAAATTAATTGGAAAAGAAAATAAAGAAATGTTAGGGTGACAAAACCCTACTACGACATAATTACAATTTTTTCTTTACATAAAAAAATTTTAATTTAATGAAAATTTCAAACAAATATGTTTCTTAGCTTTCTTTTTTTATTGAAGAACCAATTTATCTATAAAACCGCAACAAAAAGAAAAAAAACAATTGATATATCTTGAAAAAGCAAGAGGAAATAGTTTCTATAAAAACGAAAGTAATTGTTTATACAGAATAAATATACCAAAAAAAATATACCAACAAAAGAAAGCTGCAAATTTTCGATTTCGTTTCGATTGGTTCTGCTGTGAGTTATTGAAGAGGAATTTCAACTTCAGAAAAGGTAAATCTCTTCTCAAATGGCAAAACAATCTACTGATAAGAAAGAATATAACGATTATGGAAATATAAAAATGAGGTCCTAGATTTTTGATTTCTGATTTTCCGGATATTTGCACAACTGGCATAATTTTAAGTAACCATGACGAGAATGCATGTGAGCTGTTTGAAGTATGCTTTTGTTGAATGAATATGGAATAAGGTTAGGCAGTAACTGGATAAAGTTGATGGAATAACGGATTGGCACTGCTTGTCTATGCCTATGTTGTTAGGTATGAAACTGAAGCCTTATATACTAAGCTTTAAGCTTCTAGAAAATGACTGATAAGATTTGCTACATTTTCAAAGCTTTTCAAACAGCGAGTGAAATCAATAGTACTTTACGATCGAACTAATATGCTCAAACAATAACAAAAAAATTCCTTTTTTTTCAAAGAAAACTTCAGCTTTTTCTCTTTTAATTTACAGCTTACATTTTGGAAAGTAGACTGATTTTCTTTCTTTTTTTTTTTTTTTTAATAATGGCAGTTGGCCGCAATATGATTTAGAGTGGGTGGATAGACTAAAAGTGAGGCTATTAAATGCTTCGATCGATATGTTGAATAACGGAATGGCTATTGGTACCAGTAAATAATAATTTTGCACAATTTTCCTTAGTGGAGAAGAAATGGTATTATTCAGATGGGAAGAAAGAAAGGGAGAGAGGGAGAGAAAGAATATCATAAGTAAAATTAAGATAAAAATTAAGGCGCCAGGTTATTAAAGATTGGGTTTGAGACTAACCGCTAAAAAAAGGAAAAACCCGACGAGAAAAATCTATATTCTGAGAAGAAATTAAATGTTCTTCCACTTTCTTTGAAAATAAGGATGGCGATTTCCGGAACAAGGATATCCAATGAAGGAACCAAGAACAAAAAGTTGTTCAATTAGACTTTATTTATCAATAAAACTAAAATTGAAAGATGGTTCAGTGCTGGGTTAGTATATTTGGCTGTGAAATTAGATAAACCTGAAATCGGACTAAAATGAAAAGCTTAAACTATCATTAACGAGTCGCTCTTGCAGCTGTCCATCGAAGACAATCCTTTTCTCTAATTCTTTCTTGCTTTATTATGCTCTTTTCTCAATTTCCTCACATTTACACCCAGTTGTAAACAATCCAAATGATGGCATCATAAGTCATAAATGAGATATAGAGCCAAGCCTAACATCATTACATGGAATCTATTTTCTACTGCCTTCAAACTCAGCGAGTACAGCGTAAGATAGCAGGTTTAGGTAGTTTCTTATTGATAAGCTTATCAGTTGATTGTTCGGGATATATGAAGTAAAAAGTGGAAAAGGTAATCAAATGAATCAACTGATTTAACAGTACTGATTTTGTTCCAACAAAAATTATGCATCAACTAAGCCATCCATTCGTATAATATAACAGTTCATTTGTAGAATACTCAAATGTATTTCAGTTGGCGTAAATAACACATACGTGTAACTAATCACTGGCAAGTTTTCCTCGCTTATCAAACAAATCAGCAAATGAAATGAAAAGGTGCTATTAGTTGTATTTAACAAATGTCAGTTTGCATCTGTGCAAACCGATAAAGAGTGGCTCGATGATGTTCGAAATCGCAATCATCCACAACCTCCACAATGTCACTTATCATCCGAATACTTTTTTCGGTTTCTTCTCGATTCCATGCTATTTCCAGTGTTATCAGTCTACCTGGATTCTTTCATATTTCAAATTCTGGATTTTAGCAAAAATTCAAAAGTGAGTGTAATTAATGTCTAAATAGTATCGGGAAATATTTGTAGTAAAAGTTCAATTCAATTTGCCAAGATGAAGACTGAATAGTGGAAAATTTACGATTTTCTGAAAATTTTGAAGGGCTACGCTTTTGTTTATTTGGCAATAACTTATTGAATTTATTACCAAAATAATTATCTCAGTTGATGGTCTGCTTATTTCGTATGTTTGTTTTCTTATTTATCTGAAAGTGAATAATTTACCTGATAATTTGGCGTACTTCTTGCATATAAACGAAGTTTCAAGTTCTTTTTTTCGGATTGTCATATCTCTAGTTGTGATAAGCTCTGCACCTTGCGCTAATATCTCTTTCAGAAATCTCAATATGCGACCATTAAATGAAGTTAAAGTTTCACCATCTCGCTCCATACATAAGATGAGAATTTTCTATAATACCAGGAAATCAATGGAAGTCTTGAAAATTTTCAAAATTTTCTTCAGAATATTTTATTACGACTACCGAAGAAGGTCAATTTGTCTGACCTTGCCAGTGATTTTGTTCGGGACAGCATACAAGGGAAGAAATGATAATTCGGGGAAGAATGTAATATTTTTGACATTTCTAATCATATCCATTTTCTTAATGTTATCGTATTCCTGCAATAAATATAAAATAGTAGTAAAATGACAGATTCGTTGTTTTAAGAAGTATGAGTATGAGTCAGTATGGGAAACTTTTCAAAAATTTTTTTTGAAGATTTGTGAATATCTGAAAATCAATCAGCTAACGGAAAGTTTCAGATGGGAATCGGATTTACATTCTTTTAATGTCATCGACTTCAAAGCAGGCAAAGGCTGCTGAACAGAATGTATTTCATATGTAAGTAAAGAAATACAGAATTAGCTGAGAACTTACTGTAATACAAATTTCAAAATTAGGAACATCATCTGGTGTGAAATCATGTACATTATTCCAGTTGTTAATGAACGGGCTTAGTGATGCTTTCATCATATGCTCTGAAAGTATAGAACCAGTTATTTTGTACTTATTAAAATTTAAACTGGTTCTACTTGTGAACGTTTATCATGATTATCTCCCAGATTTATAATTTCCTGATTTGGCAAATTTAAATTTTATACTACACTGAAAAAAAGTGCTTCAAAAACAGAAAAAATGAAAAATGAACCTTCAACTTTGTCATAAGAAAGAATAAGTGATCGGAATCTCATCAATTTACTTGATTCGATAATTGGTTTTGTTGTACAGAATAGGAATACATCAATATTAATGCAATCTCGACTTCGGAATTGTTGAGAAATGGTAAACAGCGTAATATTTTTGCAATCTCGAATGAACACGCTAAAATTCTTGAACTGTAGAAAAACGTAGTAAAATATAGAGACTAAAGAGATTTCACATCTGTTCTTATAATGAAACGTATGGATTTACGTGATCTTATAAGTGACAAGCCTACATCTGTACGTTCAGAAAGTTTTTTATTTCCAATATGTGTTGAATACCGTATGCATTCTCTTAGAAAATAATCAGGAATATTTGAAATATTTTCTAAATGAATTAATGAAAAGGTATTATATGAGAAAATGGCTAAGATATTACTTAACCTTCCTCTACAAGGACCAGTAACAATGAGGCATTCCTCGCAATCGTCAACATTCACTGTGGCCAAGTAATCAAGGAGCAGTATGCAACATTCCTGAAATGATTTCCTGTTATTCGATTCTATCAAACTTTTCTTCCTTTCAAAATAACTTTATTTTTATTATCATTATTCCTTTTATTGTCATTATCACCTAATTAGATTTTAACATGTAAAAATTAACTTTGCATTTTTCCACAGTAAATTGCTCGCCGGTAATGTGGCCATCTGATTTAATAGCAATTTCACCATAAAGATTGACGAAACAATATTCCGCTGGATTGGGTTTTTCTTTATCCCTAAACTTTTCATTTTGGTGGAATATTTAGCTTTTATATTTTGAAAATATACAAATTCTTTACAAAAAAAAAAAAAAAAACTACTGAAAAGAACCTATTTATACATAAATGAAAACAATCCTTCGGCAGTACAATGTCGACTAACAGATGCTAATTTAATTGATATCATAGTATAAAGTATTGAAATGTATGAATTGAAGTTTATAACAAAAACGTTACAGTATATATTAAAGCAAAATCATAGTTTTTAAGGATGTTGAGGAATTTATTAAATTTTTTCAGTGAAGGAATATTTAGGACTTGTGAACTTTGAAAGATCCTTCATTAAAATCATATGAGATATGAGATGAAACTCTGGATTTAATTTATCAGTTGAGCTGTAGAATTTCTTACTCATATTTAACAATATTGATAAAAAACAGAAAAAAATAATGCATTAAAAACTCGTACTGAATAACTACTAACTAAGTCAAAGACATTAATTTGCAAACTGAAATTATATTGAAATTAAATGAAGCAAGCCGTTATTTAATAAATAAATGAGGACATATGGATAGCGAGAAAAAAAAGCTCTCCCATCTTAACTATCAACAATTTTATCATTTGAACACCAACGCAATGGCCTTTTATTTAATGTAATCCATTTAATTTCTTTAAATTCATTTGGAGAAATTAAACTTTCGTTTACTTCCCTCTTTATAAACATAGGTTTTCAGACTTTCAATATAATCCAGCTTCTCAATTCATTAAACTGAACAATAATAATAGTGTATAGACTTGGCATGGCGTCTTAAATATATTGAATAGTGGATTACCTTAAATTTAAAAAATTTGATGCAACAAAAAGAGAAAGAAAAAAGTGCTAGTCGTACTTTGAAATATGCATTAAAATTATTGAGGCCTAAATTAGAATGCTTGCGGTATCATATTTATAAACACGACAATATATCATGCACAATTGTGTTATGTCGTGACAATCTAATTACTATCTCTATCGGTTTCTTTTATTTACCGCTATTATCACATGGTGAAGAACCATGGATTTTTTTTTCTGTTTGCTTCTTAAATTCAGAGACTGGAAGAAAAATGTGACAAACTCTAAATGGGAAGTACGATGACGATAGTGAAGATTTTATTCTGCTTAATGGTGACATAGTTACAACTGGGATAAACATGAAGATCTTTTGATCCTCTAAGATGCTATAGTATCATCTTAGAGCACTGCTAACTGATCATTTTCTTCATTTCTCTCTTCCACAATCATGACCATATTTTTAACCATACTCAGTTTGCAAGCTATCATTTCGATCAATAATGATCGAATAGTGCGCTAGTAATTAACAATAAAACGGAATACCAGGAATATTTTCCGCAATCGCTATTCCTGATGTGGTATTGCTCTTCGCGGTTTGAACGTTTATTAATTGAGCAGCACGAACGTAACATCAGAAATGGCCAGTTAAGAAATCTAGGAGATGTTTCAGCAATAAGATTATTCGCTAAACTTTGGGAATATATTTGATGTCTGGTAAAATTTATTAGTGTATGATGTAATCCGCAAATTAATAAGAATGAATTGTTGACGATACTGGCTACATTGTTTGTCATGAAGTCCAGAATCATAGAGCTACTTGAGGGGGAAAAGAAAAGCAGATGGTGTCGATTCGTAATTCGTTACCATGGTAATTATTCTGACGCTGTTCACCATTATATGCTTGTTTGTCAATTAAGGATAATATAGTAAATTTTCTTTTCCAATTTACAGATTTTCAGCAAATTTTTATGTAAATTGATGATTAAAGATCAAATATTTGTATGCAAATTAATCCAAAGGGACATCCGAGCACCATTGCCCACTATACACGAGTTTTGGAAGTACGCATGAAAATTCGACGGAACGGAAAGGAAAAGTACGTCCTTAATTCTCCAGATAAAAAATCAGACGACAGAGACGAAGCAAAAGTCATCAAAACCTATCACAACATTTTCCGCGAACGACTCCGAATCCCGCTCATTATCTTTAATAATTAAATTATATTGTTGTCATTTTCTTTTATTTCACGATTTGGATTTCGCTACGTTTTTTATGGCATACCATGGAATGCGGATGATTTACTGAATATGTTGTTTAATTTCAGCGAACGGGATAATAATTCATGAAATCCACACAATGAATACCCTGAATGTGTCAATAGGTATTTTTCATTGACAACATAAAGACACCTTCCTAAGATTTCAAAATGAACCGATTGTTATGAAAAGGAACCGAAATTACGGTAATAAACTACTGCTATAAATAAAAGTATGGGCCGGATTGATTTAAAGATAACCAACGAATTATTCTCAATATCTATAAGACCGTGCAAAAAAATACTAAAGGAAACAAAAGAATTACAATACTGTAATATAAGAATTTTTAATTTGATATAATCTAAGATTTTGGCTGCATTCCAAAAACAAAACTATCACTGACATAATAATATTGTAAATATTCTCTTAGCTTGGATTTTTTGACAACAATTAATTCGCTTAAAGGTCATCAAATCTAACTAAAAAAAGGAGAGAGAAATCAAAAATGCAATCAGTATGTTCACATTGGTATAACTGCCAATGGTATGTTAAAGTATGACGGAACGACTTTTTACCGTTCAAATTAGATTTATACCATGCATAAATGAAAAACTTTTTATATATAAAAGAAACCAAATCACGACGTGCAACACAAGTTTTCCTACTAACAGACATATTTTCTGCATAAAGATATTTTCCTTACCTAGAGAAATTCTTGCTGGAGGACCTGTTGAGAGAAAAAACAATATTACAAAAATCGAGATGATCAATAAAATCACAAATGATAATATTGAAATAAGAAGGTTCATCGAAAGTGGTGATCCAAGAGATGGCTTCTTCTGTACATTTCAAAGCATATTTTCTTTCAAAAGTGGAAAATGGATGCACTAAGATATCAAACCAATTTACTGTTAAAACTGCTTGTGTTACAAAGAATACACTCCTAGGATCTTGTCTGTGTTCTCGTATCGTCCGATCAAGAAATTTAAATAATTTGTCATTTCGATTCACATTAGCATATGGACTAAGAATACAGTTAGAATCCCATATCCAGGATACACTTCGATGGGCTTTTGTTTCTGCTGCTGATATAGCTATCACTTGATAACCCAAATGCCACATACTAGCTAGGCTTATCTTTGTTATATCTTCTCCTCGTAAGCATAATTTTCGACCAAATATACTTTCCACCATTTCCAAAAATTTAATATACTCAATGCAGTTAAAATTATACAAGTGGTTGAAATCAAGAATGACAATTTCTTTTGAATGATTATCCAAGAAATCATTTATAAATGAAAGAAGTTGTTCAATACAACTACCATAGAGAGCGTGCAAAACACGTATTCCATATAATTTAGCAGGTAGTGGTACTGTGAGTCTAATATCAAAGTAACGTACACCGACATAAAGTTGTTTAACCACCGAATATCGCTGTGTTGTGGCCCACCGCCGGATAAAGCGTCGCACCATCCGAAATCGGCCAATTTCTCGGACAAATCGACTTTCATCATTCGCTACGGGATATTTATCAAACAGTAGTTGTGTGAACGAATCATGTGATCCTCAAAGTAGAAACAGCATATCTGTATTAGCAAAACAATCTTTATCAAATTCTCAAATAACATCTTGTTTTCTAATAGCTTATTCATCATACTACCGATATAGAGATACTTCCAGTGTTCTAAGTAAGCGCGATAAAGTATGAAATAAATCTGAACCTCTAATTACAATTCATCTAGTCAGATAATATTGACTACTGATGATAGTTATTTATGAATACTATAAATGACTAAAGGATAAACCACCGCTGTTAAATCGTCAAAATTTTATGACGCAAAAATAGTATCTTCCTATTAGTAAAGCAGAAACCTGGTATAGCAGTGCAAACAAGAGGCCTCTCAGCAATTTCTTGAGGTAGATTACTCATCCAGTATTCACCGCTCCTATCGATTTCCGATGACTTTTTCATTTCTTGTACAAAAACAAAGCGAACTGTCTCAACACATTCCTTCTGAGAAAAACCAGAGAATACTATTGCTTTGGTAGTAACGACAGTCACAGTATAACAGATTCAACAGCAATAACATAATGGAAATATATAATCGACGTTAAAGAAATCTTGATAACGGCCTTCAGTTTGTTACCCAATCAGAATATCGGTTATTGTTTATTCAAGTGAATATTCCTTACTTATGGTCCTAGTTTATCAATACTTATTTTCATTTCTCATATTAACATCATTTGCTGGTAACTCAATTAGCTATCCTGTCCGCATATCAGCTATGCTGTACGACTGTTTCGATTTATCAGGAATGCTAACCGACCGCTCTTTGACAAAAAAGTAATTATTGTCTGAATTTGCATAATTACATCCGCTTCTGCGACCATTCAACCAACCTACGCAGTAAGCAGAAATATGCTATTCACAGACCTTTTTTGCTATCGGTTGGCCTCTAGTGTTCAGTTGGTTAGCCATCCTGTTTGTTGTCGAAAGAGAAATGATTGTTGAGATGTGAAATTAATTGTAATGATAGGGTAAATGAATGAAAGATAACTTCGTTAACTAATACCATGCTCATTTATTTTTAAAAAATCATGAAAATTCCATCCTAGAATGTTTTTTTTCTTTCTAGAGTGGAATGTGATGTTTGTAAGCTTAAGGCTGACAAAATCGTATTACTTTTACGTTCTGTTGGTTAATTCACAAATTTTCTTGTTTTTTTTTTTTTTTTGTTTTTTTTTTTTTTTTTTTTTTTTTTTTAATGAAAAAATTGAGGCAAAAAGGATAGCGGGAGATATACGATGTAAAAAAGAGTTTTCAAATTGCTAATTAATAACGCTGTCAGTATGCAGGAATTGACTTAATATCGTTGTAAAAACTATGTAGCAGTCAATGCTTACTTTCAGGAAATGGAAGGAGATTTCTTTATTACTGAATATATGAGCCGTGAGCGAGAGGAATTGAAATGTACGATAAAAAAGTTGTATTCAGATTTTATCGTTAATGAAATTACCTCCAATGGAATCGTTCTTGGTATAGTTACGCTTCAGTATTTATTCTGGTTTCTCGTTACTGTTTTATGGTCTGCCAGTGATGTTTTATATATAATTTTAACTGCCAACTCTCAATTCACATTTCATTACTTATATTATGTAATGTATTGCACTTCTATGTAATTAAGAAGTTTCTTGTGGACGAATGTATCATCACTAAGAAAGATTTTTTATGGCATTTTCTGCTTAAATAAAAACGATATAAGTAAATCTCGCCAAAAAAATATCTGCATACCATACAGGACTCCAGAGTTTTAAATGACTTCGTTC